TTGGGAGGGCAATTACAAACACATAAATACATGTACTCAATTTCCATGTCTGTAATTACCTGGAGGCCACTTTGCCTCTTGCCAGCCAAGGACAAAACACCACTGGCAAGTGTGCAAGTGATGCAACTCACTGCATGACAAATGCTACAGGGCAGCCTTGCCCAGCAAACCTCTCCTGGAAATCTCCATTCTGGGTTAGGGCCACACTGCAATGCTTTCCCAGCACTTCTGGGGAAAATCCCCCTCCACAGAGACACAGCTACCCCACAGCCTGTCTTTCTGCTGACAGGCACAGGGCTCCACAGCCCTTTCTCAGAGCAGGGACCTTACTGAAGCCTGTCAGCTGGGCAGTCAGATAGCATTTTGCTGCAGAAGGGAGGCAGAGCTGTGCTGCCAGGCCTTCAGGAGCCACACACATCATCACACTGCTCTGCCAAGCAGTGTCCCCCCATCTCTGCACGCCCCTCCCCGACACGTCTGCTCAGATGCAGACTCTCTCTGTGCCAGCATCTCTGCCACCAGAGCATTCAAAAGGGTCTGCTTAGCCCTGTTTTGCTGTAAAAGACCAAAAAGTGTTTAAATCCCACCCCCCCCACTTCTGTTTTCTTAACAAGCAGCAGCTCCAAATGCCATGGGGGCAGGCAGCATGCTTTGCAACCCAACTCTTCCCCTGGCTCTCTGGGGTTTGTTTCACCAAAACTTCTTCCAAAAATTAAACACAACCAATGATAAAGAATATAAAGTCCAAATGGCCAAATCCCACCTGCCACAGAGGCTAAATGTGACTGTAAGGAAGGGGCTAAGGTGGGGCTGGCAGTGTTTCTCACCAAGCACGGGGCCATGCATGCTGACAGAGAGAAGATGGGGCCCTACATCTCTGCAATAAATGTAACATGAACATTTCATACCCATGAAATATCCACCCTGTTAAATGTCAGACAGCTGCCCTGCAAGCATGGCTGGAGGTGCTACACAAGTGCTGCTGAGGTAAATGAAAAAAGAACCCATAAAGCAGTGGTAGGTAATTTTTGAAGACTGTTGATTGTGGTTAAAAATGACTTTCATAATCACTTGGGAGAGTTATGGCAGGGAACAGCACAGAACTTTGATCACGTCTGTAAAAATAAATAATCTGAATTGGTTAAATAAAATCCAGGCATGAGAAGACAATTTACTGAGTGTGAATTTCTAAAAGCCAGGGGATTAGTCAAAGATAACTCTCATTTACCAAATGTGTTCAACAGAAGTACTTGCAGAAGATTGTTATGTGATACACTAATTGTGTATTTTATTTTGAAAATTGAATATGGAGATGTTATTAAGAAAAAAGTACAGCCCACAATAGGAACTGTCAGCTCTGCCAAGCAAAACTAAAATAGGTTCCCCCTTCTGTTCTTCAAACAGTTGTTTGCAATATGAACCAGTGAACAATCTGAGCTTTTCTCAAGGCTTTTTTTTTTTTCTAAAGTCCAAGGCAGGGAAGTAAATCTCAGCTCTCGCCTGGATGAGACTCAAGACACGAACCAGCTCTAGCAGCTTATCTGGTTTCATGGAGCAAATCCTAGTGCAAAAGCCTGGCCTGTGCAATTAGGTGAGGCATGCTGCTGCCTTGGGAAGCAGGGGGAGATGGGGCCTGAGCCCCATCACTGCTGGGTGAGCCTGCACACATGACAGGGACCAGGCAGCTCTAAGGGACTCTCTTCCACCCAGCTATTTGTCCTGCTCAATCAGACTCTTGGCAGCACCCAACCCAGTGGAGAGCCTGCCTTGGCTGCACAGGGAGGTGGGACTGCAGCAGCCACGGGCTGCATTAACCTCAGCCTCATTTCACTGCCAAGGCTGGCAGAGCTAGGACTTCAAAAACTCAATAACCCCTTGAACATTTTCTGTGCATAGGGTGAGCCTCAATAAGAAAAAGCAAGCCAGCTACCAGCCCACAGATGTCAGAAATGCCTTTCCTTACCCAACACTCAGGCTTAGACACAATTTTTTCCTGCTACTAAGTGCTCCTTTCCCCTGCCACAACTCCATTGTGGTCACAGCACAGGGAAGCACCAAGCAGCAGGAACAGAGCTGGCAGAGCTGGAGGGCAGCACATGCAGAACACAAATTCATATTGCAGTTGCTCACAGGAAAGCAATACCAAGACTATAACACAACCAGGAACCAAAATAAAATATAAAATAACACAGACAATATGTACTCCTGCTCTGCTCACACATATGAACAGCAGGAAAAGAAACAACTGGCATGTGCAATCCCTTCTTCCAGAAATCAAGCTCCTCATGAACTGCAGACCTGGAAGTTTAAGTGGCTGAGCACTTCATTCAGGTGACAGCCAGCCCCTTTTAGTCTTCATCAGCAGATATCCAGAGAGCTAACTCATAGACATAAAGCAAATCTACTTAGGGAATAAATGTCTAAATAAATATGAGAGATGGGATGCTGATTTTTAACATTCCTCTGCAGGGTAAATAAAATTATGGGGTTTTTTTTCACTTCAATTCATTTATGCTATTTGTTTATTACTGCATGATGAAAAGGCTCAGCATGCCTACGGCTTACTGGGTCTTCCCTCTGTCCTGGAGCATGAGCTGAGCACTACAGAGCCATGGTGGGCACACAGAGCCATGGTCATCCTCAGATGGGGACACAGACAACCCAGGGCTGCACCAGCCTCCATCTGAAGCTTTTTTGGTGGAAGAAGAGGGCAATTACTGAAACAGAGACTGAAACCCTGGAGCAGGCTGAAGGAGCGTGATGTTGCACGGCAAGTTCACCATATTCAAGTCTGAGAGAGACAAACAGCCTTTCTCTTAGTTATGTCCCATCTGCCACCTTCATTTGGCCATTAAAACCATTTTTAATATGATAAAAGGAGTAATACTGCCTGACTAATGAATGTCGAATTATCGGCGTAAATGTGCCAACATTTATTTATTTATTTGCCTCACCGAGAACATGTTCTCTTCTGTTTGGTTTTCTACTTTAATGACTACAATTTATCATACTAACTAGGCCTTCCAGTTTGCTGAGTTTTGTTTCAAGTTCTGCTTTTCTGCTGAGACATCTGTGAGGGAGCAGATGCAGGTAAGAGAAGTAATAAAACTAATAAAAAAAAAGCAATAGTAGCTGTCACCAAAAAGCACAGGTGACCAAACCGCCTTCATTTACTCAACAGGGCCTCTCCTTCTTGCTCCCATTTGATGATTTTACTGCCTTCTTTCCACCAATATTTTACACTGCTTATGGCAGCAGTTATAGAGGAACGCTAATTCCTAATTTCCAAGTAATTTGCTTTCCCTGCCTCCCAGCAGGCAGCAAAAGGAGGAAGGAAAGCTGAAGCGGAAGGACGTGAATTCGAGTTCTGAGATGAATTTGAGCCACGCACCATGGCCCAGTCAGGGGTTTCAGGAGGCATCTGAAGCTGCAGAGCTGGCTCAGTCAGAGCAGGGATCCTGACCTCCCAGAAGGAGGATCTGCCACCTGTCCCACACGTGGGGGAACATTGCCCCAGCTGCACAGAGGCTGTATCTATTTCAGAGCAAAAACGAATGTGTTTTCCCCACCTGTCACAACTGTGAAATGTACGGATAGCGTTTACTTCCGAGGCATTCGTCACTCAAATTAACAGGCAATCTGTTAGTCTGAGTGCAATTAGCACCCCAAACTTCAGACATGTCTGGTAGCTGAATTTTGCTCACAGATCCTTCAGCAGCCTGGTGTTCACTTTGAGCAAATATATGCCAATGTAGGGAGCGGCAAGGCTGTGAAATCCCCAACAAATTCAATGTGAAGCAAAGCTAAACACGCTGCTGGAGACTTGGCTTTGCCTTTGCTAGAAACTGTGATGGAAAGTTCACAGTTTTACCGACTGAAATTGAGCACTCAGCTCACCTGAGACACAGCAAATGGAACGAGTGAGTGTAACCCAGCCAGCTGGGGCTGCCTCCCACTGCCTCTTCCTGCTGCCGGATTTCAACTCCACCGCTCCTGCCACGTGAACGTGCCCCTTACACACAGACACACATCCTGGAAACATGACTTCAGCATTTTTAAGAGGTACAGGCGGGCAATATGAGCAGTGTAAACACTTATCTGTGTCATGGAGAGTGCAATCACAGCACAGAGCACAGCCACACTGGCACAGGCTGCCTGTTCTACCCTGGCCCTCAGACCTGCCTTCCGTATTAGAGTCACATCATCTGCAGCATCCTCAGATGCCCACCTGGATCACTCCTTTAGTGGGATATTTCTTTAAATATAAAGAATGCGAAATGCCAAATTACAATGGGCTTAAGTTCTTTGAACTCGATGTTCACCTCTCTCTTTTGTGCTTGCTAACATGGCAACAGGCTATCTGCAAACCACACTGAAATGTTCCTTCACAAATGCAAAATTTGATGTAAAGAGGACTGATGGAATGCACAACCCAGGCTTCCCAAAAGCAGTACAGCTTTCATTTATCACAGACTTCCCCTGGATGCTGGAGATTGTTAGGCTCATAGCTCCAGTCTCATACCCGAAGAATGCTCATCTTCATCCAGCAATCACTTTGTTTTCTTTTTCTTAAATGCTCCACAAACATTGCCCAGAGCTCTTCCCTTGCTTAGTCTCAAAATCTGTCCATACCTAGCATTTTATTAGGATTAGCTTCTCCAGTCCTCCAGTGCTTATCTGCATGATTCTCTGATCTTCCCAACCCCTCCTAACCTACCCTGTACCTGCTGGCAGCACAAGTGAGAGACCTGCCAGGTGTCACCTTCCAGTGCCACAGCTTTCTCCCCCATTTCTCCCTGGATCAATCTAAATGACTCACACTCACAGCACCTGTCACAGCAATGACATTGCTCTTGCTCTGTGCACATCCCTGGCATTTTATCATCCTCTTCCACCACAGTGGAGCTGGTGAGAGAGATGCCTGGTCTTTTCCAGCCCAGCACCCGTTGCTGCTCCCCCAAAGGCAGAAGCAGAGGGAAGGAGAAGAGCAGCCTGCTTACCCTCAGGAAGGAGAGGTCTCTGTTGTGCTCGATGCTGGTGATCTCCAGGTTGCCCATCACTACCTCACAGTTCTCATAGTACTTGCGCAGGGCCCGGTACTGCTGCTCCAGGTCAGAGAGGGAGCTCAGCTTGTTCTCGGTGCCGGCACACACTGCAAAAAAAACCCACAGCACAATCAGTCAGGCCAGTGTGGAAGAGGAGCACTGGAGCACATAAAGAAATACAGTCTGTACACAGTGATACAGGGAGCTACAACAAAAATCTGTGATGATTCAAAGGACTTGGTCACTCAAGTCACACTTGAATGCCAGCAGCAGAGACAGGAAAGTAAAAATACAGCCTGTGGTCATCAGCAATTTAAACACCTCTCACCAAATGGTCTGAAGTACATATTCACCACCAAATGCAGAAAGTTTGAAAAGGCAGAAATGCAGGAAAAAGGCCAAGCAGGTTGACCTCAGCAGCCAAAGGGTCAAACCCAGGTCTCAGCAAACCCCTACCAGTTCTACCAGTGACAGAATCAGACGCTGGGCAGAGGCACTCCCATCACAGGCTGAAGGACACAAGGCTGGAGAGACCTGTGCATCCAAGGTGACCTGCATAATCCAACATTTTCACTATTCTCAATAGTATTTTGAACAAGCCAAGAGAAACCTGAGCAGAAGACTTACACCCAACATTGTTTTCCTTATCACTTTCCTTAAGACCCCAGCTCTTCCCGGCTTTATTTAATTAAATAGGACAAAACCAGCAAAAAACACAATGTCTTTCCACAAGTCCCTGGGCTGAATGAACAGCGAAGGTATGTCAGGAAATACCATCTTAATACAGTTTTCAAAGGACAACCTTTAATATTACACCACTCTGTTCTACTTTTTGAAGCCCAGTAAAAAGCCAGCACAGAATCCCAGCTCAGCTCAGTGCATCAGCCTGTTGTCATCATGCAATGACAAAAAAAATAAATGTAAAAAAGAGAGAGAGAGAGAGAAAAACAAATACAGAAACAGCATTTTACGTGATCAGCTTTTCACACATTGCTCAGCCTGCCCAGACAGTGATGCTGCTTAAATGGTCAAGAGTGGGGTTGGGCTGGTTTTGGTTTGTCTGCTTCAATGCACTTACTTTTCCTCTTAATCAGCATCTTGTGGGTTGTTCTTATCTGTGAGCAAATTAATCTGGGTATATCTAAATTTTGAAATGGGCACTATATTACACAAAACAGGAGCCTGACAAGAATGGCATTTCTGGAGCCAATCCCTCTCCTGGATCAGATCGATACAAACAAAACTCTCCATGACTGGAGGCATAATCAGTAAAATTGGCTAAAATATACTCTTTTGAATGATGCAGGTCCTTTTTATAAATACCAAAAGTAATTAGGTTTCAGAGTACTACAATTATTGACTCTTTATTTACTATACACCATCTCCCCTTTCTTTTTTCTCAGTAGAAATGGGAACAGTTCTGATCTCTGTTCCCTCTGTGGCCTCTCTGCTGCAGAACTATTTGCTCTTGTGCCATGACTCCCACGGGGAAGGCAGGCACGGGCCGGTTTCTTCACAAACCATCCACAGGGTGAAGAGTTGATCAAATCATTTTTGGGTTCTGGGGGGCTAAAGAGCACGGATCAAAGCTGAACACGCACTGCAAGGGCTGCTTCTCCAAACAAGCATTGGTTCTACCCACCACAGGAAATGCTGGAATATTATTTCTTTCTATCACCTGGTAAAAGTAAAATTTCAAAGTTCTTGCCACAGTTAAAAATTTCAAATGTTAGACCTATGTTCATTGTACTGTGTTGAAGAAAAACAGAACAACTTGGTTTGCTGAAGTTTTAAAATAGAAGCTAGCACATCATTTTGAGGCTTATCTTAAAAGTATGAACATTCCAGTTTTTAGATTTTCTGTAAAACCTTACCACTTAGAGTAAATCATACCTAAACACGACTTTAGTCATAACATTTTTAACAGCTATTTTGGGAGATTCCCAGGATGGAAAGACACAGTCATATTGGGACCTCACGTAGCTCTGGTGGACTGGGAACTGGAAGGATTAAGCACTGCAACTAGGAGATGGCTCATCTTCCTTTTTTGAAATACAAAGCCCTGTCCTAGCTCGTGTATAAAGTTTTATTCAGAAAACCCTCAAGACCTGCCCTTGTGTGCCAGCTCTTCAGGGAGACACATGTCTCTGCCTGCCAGGATACCTAAAAATTCTTGCTTAGCAATTACAAAATGAGTTTGTGTGTTTCTTCCTTAAATATAGCAGTATCTATTACCAGACTGATCAGATTTCCAGCCAGGTAAGTATTCTGTCTTAAGGCTCCCAAGGACCAATAAATACCTTCCGTTCCATTTTGCAATCCGTGCTAGGGACCAGCACAGCTCAGAAAACAATTCCTGCAGCTCAGCTAATAAAGCTATGTACTGCAACACTGCTATTTCATGCTGCACACCCATTAAACGTTTCCTGAAAGCTAATGCAGCCATTTGTTTGCTGTGAGGAGGCAGAAACACCTGGAGCCTGTTCTTGCAAGAGGATTGGGCAGGGGTGAAGCCAGCCCGGATGTGAAACAGGGCTATGACTTTTATTTGACTGAGATTAATTTTGTACAGCCAAACCACTGCAATAACTAGTCCCAGTTTTTGATATGGCTATTAATCAATTCTTTTGGATTAAAAAAAACACAAACTTTAAAGCTAATTTAGAATAAATCATGCTTATCCTTTAAATTCATTTCACAGCAATTCCAAACACTTAATGTCTGCCTTAAAAAGAGAAATTTCCTTCAACAAAAAATTGGTCACAGATTGCCTCAAATCAAGGCACGTACCAAAAGTGATTCTCCTACATCAGCTGAGAGATGCAGGAGTGCACATTTTCTTCCACTGGTACCCAACCAGCAGTACAAGTTGATGCAGAAACAGAACTCAGAGCAGGAAAGAGCTTTGACCTGCACAACAAGCTGAAGTCACAAAGCAAACGTGGGTATAATGATGGATCATTAATAATCCATTATTACAATGCCATGAATCTCCTCAGCTTTGCAATGTATGCTTTTGATGAACCTAATAATTATATCACATTCGAAATGCAAAGAGGAAACTATCCCAGTATTTAAGAAAAGTAGGTTAGGTCCTTCACTTGAAGGAGGAAGGGCTGGGACCTCCCATCCTTTGCAGAGAATCCTTTAAAACAGAGAGATAAGATATGCTCATGGCAGGTTGTTCAAGGCAAATTACATCTAGTGGGAAGATGCCAAGAGAGGGAAATGCTGCAGCCATGGACCATCACAGAGCTGCTCCTGTTGGCCCACTGATGCCAGTGAGCCAAACCTGGGAGGGACACAGGCCAGAAAGCAGGCTGTGAACTGGCACTTTTTTAAAGTTTCATGCCCCATTTTGAGCCACATGAGCCAATTCCCAGCTGCTCCAGAGTAGAAATAATTGTTCTGGGCCGGATTTGCCAAGGTAGTTAAAAAGCACTAAAGTAATTGCATGTGAAGTGGGAGCTGAGCTGGAGTCACACAGGATTCCCCGAGCTCAATATGGAGCAGGAACATACCCCACTCACCCCCTGCTCCTCTCCTGGAACAGCAACAGGCATCTATGTGTTGCAGCAGCTCTTTAAAATTAAGTGCCAACATAATAAGTATTTGCAAGGATGTTCCAGCTGTATACAGGCATAAACACAAGCACAACAAAATGTATTTCCTTGTCACACCATGCAAAACCACTGAAATCTGTATCTCATGAACCCTCTTCAAAGCACTTTGTTGTATATTGTTAGATTTGTTGTTTAATACAGACCCAGAAATGGATGAGCAGCAAAAAAAAATCAAGATTGTGCACTTTAACTGTTCCTGCAGCAGAACCTCTGCTGGTTAATAAAAAATACTCATTCCCTGTCTCTAACACAGGGCAAAGAGAAGCAGCTTTAGATGTGCCCCCAGTCTGAAGCTGCTCTCGTTATTGAGCATCCCTGGTCACATATTCTCTGCCTTGCTTGGGGGAGCCCTTCCAGGGGCATTTCCATGAGGGAAACCCTCCTGCTCTTTCAATGCACATCCAGCAAAATCAGACTTCCCCTACATTTTGCCCAAGTTGGTGGGGGAAGCTTCAGTCTGACCTGGTTTACTGACATGCCACCAACCTCTCAAACCCATCTCTACACCTCAACATGCTCAGCCATTCCTGCTCCTTCCATGTTCTGACAAAAAACCTCAGAGAGAGTTCATGTGCAGAGTCACCCACCACTAAGGTCATCCCAAAGCTCAAGGAGATGCCTCTTCCATCCTGGAAGGCCCAAACCTGCAGTGATGGCAACAAGCCAGTGGCCACTTCTCACCTGCACCCCAGCCATGGGGGATTTTGGGTGGGTGCTGGAGCAGAGCACAGCTTGGTCATCACAAAAGTGGATTTCAGGCATTACTCACACATTCACACTTCACATTCAGTTGTTTACTTATTAGCAGCTACCTAAAGTGACAGAGTTTCAGCTCCTAATGGCCCCAATTACAACAGTAATAATCATCTGTATTGAAATGAACTTTTGTTTTTCATCAATATTCATGCACATGACTTGGAAATTAATTTTCCATTGACACTTTTTCATAAAACAGCCAAATCATTCAAACGCTCACTTAAAGGTGGCAAATAATGGAGACATTTAAAAATCTGTTAGATTCTGCTTTTCAGCCCATTATTTCGCTCTGCTCTGTTGATGATAAATCCATATGTTAAATTAAGAAATCACACTTGCCTCCATCTAGTACTGCTTCTTCTAATACTAATGGATTTTATAATCCTCCCAGCTCAACTTTTGGAAGGAGATCAACTTGTTTCATTTCTTATTCAACCCCTTTCCAGATCAGCCTGTATCTGGAGTACTAAAGAGTGGAATCCATTATCTCCACCGCAGCCACCCCCACCTGAAATCCTGGAAGCTCCTCTTCCAAAGCACACTCAAAGAAGCAGTGATGAGACATCCTGGTGGCTAACTCCAAGGGAGTTATCTCAAGCACCTCAATATGTTTTCCTCTGAATCATAAAACATTTATTATTTTCTCTTTGGCAAGGATGCAGAAGAGCAGCGCCCTTGCCCTGCCCCAGCCTCTGCCTGAAGGCAGCACAACCTCCCTGTGTCAATCAGTTTGTCAAGTGGGCCAAAAACACAAAGGGAGGCTCAAATTCTTGGACTTACTGGTTTGAGGAATGTCTTTATAAAAAGGGCAATCATATGTTCCTTCACCCCAGAAATGATGAGCCCAACAAGAGCCATCCTCTCAGAAATTTCTAACACATTCTTCTCCGGTACTTCCCGCTTATTTACTTAATTAGCTGCTTTTTTACAAACATCACCATTATCAGGGTTTCTTGAAAGGCAGCTAACAGAACTGTTTATTAATAATTGCAAACACTCGTGGCAATTTGTTAAGACCCTCAGATGGGAGGAATACTCAAGCCCCTTAAGGAACAACTAATTACCACAGCAATCCCCATTCACTTCTTTCTGCTCCACGCTCTCAGTAACAGCCTGGGCACCCTGTCACGTAGGCACACAGGAAGGGGAAACACACTTTTAATCCTTTCATTATTATTTTACAGTTCTCCTTGAATGAGATGAATTCTTCTTGCAATTAGGCATGTCCTAATGAAGCAAGGGCTGTCTGCACTTACAGCCTTGCAGATGTTTCCCATGAGAAGGCAAAACACTCCTGGAGGTCACCAGCCATTTTCCTGTAAACCCAGTGAATTGGGAGAGTGCTTTAGAATTGGAGGCTTTCTTTCCCTAGGTGGGAGGCTGTAATGAAGGAGAGCATAATTTTCTCTGTACTCCTAATTAAAAGCTCAGCTGGCACAAGTGTTTTCCTTCCGCAAGGTCTGCTCTACCCTGGAAAATTATCATCCCATTTGATTCCAGTTGCGTGCAATCAACCCGACTGCCATGAACCCCTGGACAGCCACGTGGCCACAAGAGGAGCTCAGCATGGCCACCCAGCTGCTGCCCAACCTGTCAGGGTGTCACTGGGATGAGGTGACACAGCACAGGCAGTACAAACTCTTTCCCCCACAGCATTTCTCCTCCACAGCACGGAGAAGCGGTCCCTGGGTTGGATAGTACCAGGCACCAAAAGCATT